GAGATGAGGGCGGACACGCTCTCGTATCCCGAGGGAGCCGGGTGAATGGTTGCCAGGTAGAGCTCTACCTGGAGCAGAAAACCCTGACACCCGGCAGCTGTACCGTCATATGCCCTCGGGAGCGAGAGCCGAATCCCACTGGACCCAGATGGTGAAGAGGTGGACAGCAGTGTTGGTGGTGGTGTAATTGGAGGAGGTATAGGGATACCTCCTCTCTCCCATCGTTCCATGGTATTAACCACTCGTTCCATAGCGGTGCCGAGAGCCTGGATCATGGCCGCTTGTTGTTGGACGCGTTCCTCCATCGATCCGGCTGGCATTGCTGTACCTGCTGACTCCATGTTATGGTGCGTGTTTCTGTCAAGGTGTCAGTGTAATGCGGTAGGCGAAGTCAGGCGCAGGACAAAGAGCTAATCAAAAAGCGTTCTTTACTCGTAGATAAATGAATGAAAAAAAAAAATCCACGCAGGGAGGGGAACAAACCCGCACACTAACGACAACCAAAACATGAACAAACACACAGTGTGAGACAGAGGGTTAAATAGGGAAGTCTACCTGATGGGAAACAGGTGTGACCAATAAAGACAAAACAAGTCGAACATAGAAATATGGATCGGTAGTAGCTAGTACTCCGGTGACGACGAACGCCGAAGCCTGCCCGAGCAAGGAGGAGGGGCAGCCTCGGCTGAATCCGTGACAACAACAAACCTGCCAAGAGAGGGCCGCCCACCAAAACTCACGGACCAGGCAAGGAGGGCAATAATCAGAGAGGCAACAAAGAGACCAAAGAAAACCCTGAAAGAGCTGCAAAGCTCCATAGCGGAGATTGGAGTATCTGTTCATAGAACCACTTTAAGCCGTACACTCCACAGAGCTGGGCTTTACGGAAGAGTGGCCAGAAAAAAGCCATTGCTTAAAGAAAAAAATAAGCAAACACGTTTGGTGTTCGCCAAAAGGCATGTGGGAGACTCCCCAAACATATGGAAGAAGGTACTCCGGTCAGATGAGACTAAAATTGAGCTTTTTGGCCATCAAGGAAAACGCTATGTCTGGCGCAACCCAACACCTCTCATCACCCCGAGAACACCATCCCCACAGTGAAGCATGGTGGTGGCAGCATCATGCTGTGGGGATGTTTTTTATCGGCAGGGACTGGGAAACTGGTCAGAATTGAAGGAATGATGGATGGCGCTAAATACAGGGAAATTCTTGAGGGAAACCTATTTCAGTCTTCCAGAGAATTGAGACTGGGACGGAGGTTCACCTTCCAGCAGGACAATGACCCTAAGCATACTGCTAAAGCAACACTCGAGTGGTGTAAGGGGAAACATTTAAATGTCTTGGAATGGCCTAGTCAAAGCCCAGACCTCAATCCAATTGAGAATCTGTGGTATGACTTAAAGATTGCTGTACACCAGCGGAACCCATCCAACTTAAAAGAGCTGGAGCAGTTTTGCCTTGAAGAATGGGCAAAAATCCCAGTGGCTAGATGTGCCAAGCTTATAGAGACACACCCCAAGAGACTTGCAGCTGTAATTGCTGCAAAAGGTGGCTCTACAAAGTATTGACTTTGGGGGGGCGGGGGGTGAATACTTTCGCAAGCCACTGTTGTAAGGCAACAAAATAGGAAAAATGCCAAGGGGGGTGAATACTTTCGCAAGCCACTGTAAGTATCAAAAGTTAAAGTTAAAGTATAAATCATTTAAAATGTCTTGTATTAAGCAAACCAGACGGCACCATTTTTTGTTTTTATTTATTCACGGATAGCAAGGGGCACGCTCCAACACTCAGACATCATTTACAAACTAAGCATGTGTTTAGTGAGTCTGCTAGATCAAAGACAGTAGGGATGACCAGGGATGTTCTCTTGATAAGTGTGTGAATTAGACAATTTTCCTGTCCTGCTAAGCATTCAACATTTTACGAGTACTTTTGTGTGTCAGGGAAAATGTATGGAGTAAAAAGTACATCATTTTCTTTATGAATGTAGTGAAGATATAATATAAATAGTAAAGTAAAGTACAGATACCAAAAAAATGTTCCAGTGGTTTAAGTATTTTAAACCACTGGAACATACGTGTGGTCGGAATCCCAGAAGGAACGGAAGGGCGCAATCCTACCGAGTTCATGGCCTCTTTCCTGCAAGACCTCCTTGGCGGAGAGACGTTTGACAGGCCCCCAGTCATCGACAGGGCGCATCGCACTCTTGCGGCAAAACCACAGCCCGGTCGCCCTCCCAGAGCAATGCTGGTCTGCATACATTACTTCCAGACCAAAAAGAAAAGTATTCGGACCTCTCGCGAAAGAGGACAGCTGAACTACAATGGCAAGCGGATCCATATCTTCCCAGATTACTCGGCAGACCTGACAAGACGCAGAGCTGCATACAAAGATATGAAAGCCCACCTTCACAAGGCAGGAGTCAGATTTGGCCTGATCCACCGGCTGAATTGAGGATTACTTTCCAGGGGGCTAGCCACACATTTGACAACCCCCAGTTTCGCTCACCTTCAACCGGGACAATATCCACTCAACAGCAGCACAGAACATAAATCCGTGAAGGCTGCTAGTTATGTTATTAGGGTGCACACATGGTCAGTTTATGGACGTGAACGTGAGTAACTTGTATTTGCCCTATTTGGGCAGTCCATGCACCGCATATAGATGGCTGACTACGTCGGGATGGAACCGTCTTCCCTGCCATGGTATACAAAGTCATCGTTAATAAGAGTTATGGTGTAATGTAACTAAGCTTTTCATTTATAGAACTGAGGTTCTTTTTCATTTTTTCATGAATGAATAAGCCAAAGCCCAATGACGTTCCTGTTAATTTGCTCCTTTAGTTGGGCCTGAAGGTAGGCAAAGGGGCGTAATTACTAGGCTATAATAAACCTTTTTCGTATTATTTTTTATTTGTATTTATATATTTTTTATTTTTTTTAGGGGGTATATCAGCTTTAATATTGCAGATAGATTGTAGCTTCCATCAATGTAATTGTCTGCATCACTTCCAATCCCCCATATATTTTTTAGCAAATATACAGTACCAGTCAAAAGTTTGGACACACCCACTCATTCAAGGGATTTTCTTTATTTCTACAATTTTCTACATTGTGGAATAATAGTGAAAACATCAAAACTACGAAATAACACATATGGAATCATGTAGTAACCAAAAAAGTGTTAAACAAATCCAAATATATTTTATATTTGAGATTCTTCAAATAGCCACCCTTTGCCTTGATGACAGCTTTGCACACTCTTGGCATTCTCTCAATCAGCTTCACCTGGCATGCTTTTCCAACAGTCTTGAAGGAGTTCCCACATATACTTAGCACTTGTATAATATGAAATAAAGTAACAAATAATTAAAGAGCAGCAGTAAAAATAATATGTACATGTAGATAGAGTTATTAAAGTGACTATGCATAGATAATAAACAGAGAGTAGCAGCAGCGTAAAAGAGGGGTGGGGGGGCAATGCAAATAGTCTGGGTAGCCATTTGATTAGATGTTCAGGAGTCTTATGGCTTGGGGGTAGAAGCTGTTTAGAAGCCTCTTGGACCCAGGCTTGGCGCTCTGGTACTGCTTGCCGTGCGGTAGCAGAGAGAACAGTCTATGACTAGGGTGGCTGGAGTCTTTGACAATTTTTAGGGCCTTCCTCTGACACTGCCTGGTATAGAGGTCCTGGATGGCAGGAAACTTGGCCCAAGTGATGTACTGGGCCGTATGCACTACCCTCCTAAGGAACCTGAAGCTCTCAACCTGCTCCACTACAGCCCTGTTGATGAGAATGGGGGCATGCTCGGTCCTCTTCTTTTTCCTGTAGTCCACAATCATCTCCTTTGTCTTGATCATGTTGAGGGAGAGGTTGTTGTCCTGGCACCACACGGCCAATTCTCTGACCTCCTCCCTATAGGCTGTCTCGTTGTTGTCGGTGATCAGGCCTACCACTGTTGTGTCATTGGCAAACCTAATGATGGTGTTGGAGTAGTGCCTGGCCATGCAGTCCACGCACCCCTGAGGGGCCCCCGTGTTGAGGATCAGCGTGGCGGATGTGTTGTTACCTACCCTTACCACCTGGGGGCGGCCCGTCAGGAAGTCCAGGATCCAGTTGCAGAGGGAGATGTTTAGTCCCAGGGTCCTTAGCTTAGTGATGAGCTTTGAGGGCCCCTAAACTTCTGCAAACAACATAAATCAAATCAACATAAAAAACTGCCTCTTGATTGTCATTAGTACTCATTCCTGTGGTTGATGCATGACGCTACAGTATGGCATGTTTCCACTTCCTTTGAGCAGTGTTTGTGTGTTGTCAACCTAGATCCTGTGACGAGCTCTAGTTCCAACAGATATCTAAAAACCTTTGACAACTTCAGACGCTGCTTTCTAAGTTTAGAGTTTGTGCAATAAACTACTTGAGGGAACTGCTACTTGTTGGAAACGTCTGTCCTCTAACTAACCACATGTTGTTGTTTTACAGTGTTCTGTTATTTCCTTCAAATACTTTGAGTTCTGACCAGTCTTGAGATAGAGGTTTCTTTGATCTGTCTGTGAAACTGCGAATGTGCAGACCACAGAGGAGCAGGTGGTATGGCCTCAACCAATCAAGAGCAAAATAATTAGGTCTCTCTGAGTGGTTCTTACTCTAGCACACTTTCTGTACCAGCTGATAACTTTAAAGTAACTACATTTAGTACCAACTCATTCTGAGAGTTTTGTGATCATCATATTTTAGCTTTATTAGTTGTTGATAATGTAATTTAGAGTGATAGATAAATAAAAAAGTACATAATGTTGGGGGGGGGAAATGGTCTCTTGTATCATGGAAAGAGTTGTGGTTTTGGCACTTGTTAGTTCTGCAGTGGGTGTTTTCCTCCATTGGACAGGAAGACATGACGGGGAATGTGAGTGTTTGTGTGCATGTGCAATCAGTTATTGTGTCTGAAAGACATACAGACATACAGAGTCTTTGGCTAGAGTTTGTTGGCCTGCCTATTCACAATGCTGTTGCCACAGGCTTTCTCTCTCCTGACCACCCTCACCCTCTCTACCACATTTACTGGTGAGTATTTCTGTCTTATTGTTGCATTTTGGTTGGTGTATCTATTAGTTGTACAGTTGTAAAATGATTCATTGTAAAAAAAAAAGTGTAAGCTACAGTAGTATTTCAGGGTGATTAGTCCATTCAGTGGTTTAGTTGTCTGAATCAACATACTGTAACAGTTGAAAACCAGTTATTGATTGACCAGTCAATGTAGATATGAATAGTACAGTGGGGGAAAAAGTATTTAGTCAGCCACCAATTGTGCAAGTTCTCCCACGTAAAAAGATGAGAGGCCTGTAATTTTCATCATAGGTACACGTCAACTATGACAGACAAATTGAGATTTTTTTTCTCCAGAAAATCACATTGTAGGATTTTTAATGAATTTATTTGCAAATTATGGTGGAAAATAAGTATTTGATCACCTACAAACAAGCAAGATTTCTGGCTCTCATAGACCTGTAACTTCTTCTTTAAGAGGCTCCTCTGTCCTCCACTCGTTACCTGTATTAATGGCACCTGTTTGAACTTGTTATCAGTATAAAAGACACCTGTCCACAACCTCAAACAGTCACACTCCAAACTCCACTATGGCCAAGACCAAAGAGCTGTCAAAGGACACCAGAAACAAAATTGTAGACCTGCACCAGGCTGGGAAGACTGAATCTGCAATAGGTAAGCAGCTTGGTTTGAAGAAATCAACTGTGGGAGCAATTATTAGGAAATGGAAGACATACAAGACCACTGATAATCTCCCTCGATCTGGGGCTCCACGCAAGATCTCACCCTGTGGGGTCAAAATGATCACAAGAACGGTGAGCAAAAATCCCAGAACCACACGGGGGGACCTAGTGAATGACCTGCAGAGAGCTGGGACCAAAGTAACAAAGCCTACCATCAGTAACACACTACGCCGCCAGGGACTCAAATCCTGCAGTGCCAGACGTGTCCCCCTGCTTAAGCCAGTACATGTCCAGGCCCGTCTGAAGTTTGCTAGAGTGCATTTGGATGATCCAGAAGAGGATTGGGGGAATGTCATATGGTCAGATGAAACCAAAATATAACTTTTTGGTAAAAAACTGTGAAGCATGGGGGTGGAAACATCATGCTTTGGGGCTGTTTTTCTGCAAAGGGACCAGGATGACTGATCCGTGTAAAGGAAAGAATGAATGGGGCCATGTATCGTGAGATTTTGAGTGAAAACCTCCTTCCATCAGCAAGGGCATTGAAGATTAAACGTGGCTGGGTCTTTCAGCATGACAATGATCCCAAACACACCGCCCGGGCAACGAAGGAGTGGCTTCGTAAGAAGCATTTCAAGGTCCTGGAGTGGCCTAGCCAGTCTCCAGATCTCAACCCCATAGAAAATCTTTGGAGGGAGTTGAAAGTCCGTGTTGCCCAGCGACAGCCCCAAAACATCACTGCTCTAGAGGAGATCTGCATGGAGGAATGGGCCAAAATACCAGCAACAGTGTGTGAAAACCTTGTGAAGACTTACAGAAAACGTTTGACCTGTGTCATTGCCAACAAAGGGTATATAACAAAGTATTGAGAAACTTTTGTTATTGACCAAATACTTATTTTCCACCATAATTTGCAAATAAATTCATAAAAAATCCTACAATGTGATTTTCTGGAGAAAAGAAATCTCATTTTGTCTGTCATAGTTGACATGTACCTATGATGAAAATTAAAGGCCTCTCTCATCTTTTTAAGTGGGAGAACTTGCACAATTGGTGGCTGGCTAAATACTTTTTTTCCCCACTGTATATGGTAACAGCTATTTGGTTTTGCTTTGGTGCAGTAGTGGTCAGTGCCATTTAAGATTAGGGAGGACAATTTTTAACCTCTACACACAGCCTACATCGTTGTCACCATATTAGCTAACGTCTAAGTCAACATAGCTTAAAGAACTAACGCGTTAGTAAACCCGCTACAATCATGCAGTACAGTGTACAGCAAGCAGTTTAGCAGATACACCGGCGGCCCTGTGGCAATAAATTAATAACACCAAACTAGTTAGCTGCATTCGCTAGCTAAGTAAGTGAAAGTGAAAAAAAAAAAAAAAATGTAGTCAGCTCTCGCTCTTGCTTCTCCTTAATTTCTGAAGAAATGAATTTGTTCAAAACTGTTCAACTATTGTTTTTCTCTCTCTTTGAGTCAACTACTCATCACATTTTATGCACTGCAGTGCTAGCTAGCTGTAGCTTATGCTTTCAGTACTAGATTCATTCTCTGATCCTTTGTTTGGGTGGACAACATGTCAGTTCATGCTGCAAGAGCTCTGATTGGTTAGAGGATGTCCTCTGGAAGTCATCATAATTACTGTGTTAGTCTATTGAAGGGGGTGAGAACCATGAGCCTCCTATGTTTTGTATTGAAGTCAATGTACCCAGAGGAGTATGGAAACTAGCTGTCCTCCGTCTACACCATGGTGCTATCCCAGAGACTGCTGTTGAGGCTGTAGACTACTGTAGACCTTCATTGCAAAACAGTGTGTTTTAATCAATTATTTAGTGATATGCATATAGTTAATATTATTGTATCTAAAAAAGGATAGCTTTTTTAATGTTTCACTATTTTTATTTTTATGACATTTCCTGAGGTTTTCCCCTTCCTCCTATGAGGAGCCTCCACTGCTTTGGTTGCATTAATCTGGAGCATCAACTTTCAACCACTTCCTATAGCTATTTTCAGTATTGGAAGTACGTAAATAGTATGGCCTAATATGGCATGATCTTAATATGGGATGAACTTGAGTTGTTATTACCATTATTTGTATTTTTGTTCATTTCCTTTAATCTCACGTAGTATCATGAGTGTACAGTATCCTGAACATGAGTGAGCACATAACCTGTGTCCTATTTTAACTTTGGATTTTTTTTAAAATTCCTGTTTGGTTCCGCAGGTGCTGTGGAGATTGTTAGAGCAGCCAAAGGCAGTCCTTCCCACCTCCCTTGTCCCTCACCATTTGGATTTGACGGCAAAGTTGTTTTTAAATGGACCAAATTTGGAAGTCCTGGCATTATTTGCGAATATAATGTGAATAAAGAAATCAGTTCAGTCATATCCTGTAAGTCTCAATTCAAGGTAATCGAACAACCTCCTAAACTGTATGTTACAGAGCCAAAGAGCACTGACTCAGGTCAATATACCTGCTCAATATCAAGAGTCATACCACCACCAACCATTGAGAATTCCTCCGTAGTCAATCTTCAAGTTACAGGTAATTTATCTTGTAGAAGATATCACTTTATAAACACGTGTTTACTGGTCTTTGTGTCTCTAAATCAAGGCATACAATAGGATATTAGAATGGCATTTACAGTCTTTTCACTGTTGTTAGAGTTCCAGTGCTATTCTCTTCTGCAGTGCCTCCAGGTCTAGTCCTAGAGAGGCAGAACAGCAATGATCCTGGCTGCATCCAGCTTCTCTGTACTTTGGAGGGCCTTGACCCACAGGACATCAACTTCACCTGGACCCAACAAGGTCAGGGTTCACCGGAGACACTGTTGACCAATCACAGCCTCTCTAAACTGAGCAGCATTCTGACCCAGTGCCAATCAGTGTTGAGAGAGGGCGACACAATCACCTGCAACGTCAGACTCTTAGCCAATAACACTGACCTGAGCATGAGCATCAGACTTCCCTACAGTGAACCAGGTGGGTGACATTCAGACATAATCAATGTACTGTTAAGTAGTGACAAGGTTGACAAGATGTCCCATTGCTTTTTGTGTGCAGTGCAGTACCCCAATGACTATTCTGTGCAGTGCAGTCTACTTTTAATACTAATTAACTTCTGCTAAAGACTCAGAGAGGATCGCTTAGTATCTGCTTTTGTTATTTCTCTCCCTCCAATTCATTGGTTGACTGTCAAGTGTAACCTGAGAAGATTCTTGAGACACAAGGTCATAGAAAAGCTGTGATAAACAGATACTGAACAGTGGGGTTGGCTGCATCAGGTTGCTATTTTGCCCCAAGCTTCACAACCACATATGGCAGGCTGGACACTTTGATTGATGACACTATCTATATGGTAAATCTCTGACCCTTGATGGTCTTGTTGTTACAGAGACCTACCATTGGAACAACCTTCTGACCATCATCTGTGTCAGCACATCCATCGGGGTTGTGGCCATCGCAGCTGTCACCATAAGTATTTACAAATGTAAGTCTTATAGTCTATAGTGATTTTTTTGGTCAGTGCTTTCTTAAGCTTACACAATTTATACATATGTTTCCATTTACAAAAAAGGCCATGTAAATTCTGTGGTCAATTACTTTGTTCACAGGCTTGAACATTTGAGGTAACTCTCAAGTCACTCCAGTCTTGTTGTCACGATCGTTGGTTAGAGAGGACCAAGGCGCAGCGTGTTGAGCGAACATACTTTAATAGTAAAGTGCAAACACGAATACAAAACAATAAACGATACGTAACGTCCTCAGACAATGACTGACAAGGAACAAAAACCCACAAACACAAGGTGAAAACAGACATTATAAATATGGCTCCCAATCAGAGACAACGAGCCAAACAGCTGACACTCGTTACCTCTGATTGGGAGTCACTCATCCAAACAAAGAAATACAACCACATAGAACAACCCAACCAAACAGAACACAACGAAACGAACACACCCTGGCTCAACATACAAAGTCCCGGAGCCAGAGCGTGACAGTACCCCCCCCTAAAGGCGCGGACTGCGACCGCGCCTCAATAAGGGCTAAACAAGGGAGGGCTGGGTGGGCATACCTCCTCGGCGGTGGTTCTGGCTCCGGCCCTGATCCCCACCTCCTCTCCAACCCCCCAAAGTACCCCTGGTCCTGTCTAGCCCCACTGGTCGGAGCCGGACTGACGACACGCGCCCCTGGCTTGGTGCGTGGAACAGGAACGGGCCTCACCGGACTGACGACTCCATTCCCTGGTTTGGTGCGAGTAGCAGGAACGAGCTGGACCAGGCTGACGACTCGCATCCCTGGTTTGGTGCGAGTAGCAGGAACGGGCTGGACCAGGCTGACGCCTCGCACCCCTGGCTTGGTGCGAGTAGCAGGAACGGGTTGGACCAGGCTGGCGACTCGCACCCCTGGTTTGGTGCGAGTGGCAGGAACAGGCCGGGTCGGGCTGGCGACGCACACCGTAGGCTTTGTGCGTGGAGCAGGGACAGGCCGGGCTGGGCTGGCGACGCACACCGTAGGCTTTGTGCGTGGAGCAGGAACAGGCCGGGCTGGGCTGGCGACGCACACCGTAGGCTTTGTGCGTGGAGCAGGGACAGGCCGGGCTGTCGACGCACACCACTGACTTGGTGGGAATGGCAGGAACCGGCCGGGCTGGGCTGACGACGTGCACCACTGACTTGGTGGGAATGGCAGGAACAGGCCGGGCTGGGCTGACGACGCGCACCACTGACTTGGTGGGAATGGCAGGAACAGGCCGGGCCGGGCTGTCGACGCACACCACAGACTTGGTGGGAATGGCAGGAACAGGCCGGGCTGGGCTGACGACGCGCACCACTGCCTTGGTGGGAATGGCAGGAACAGGCCGGACCGTACTGGGGACACACACCACTGGCCCCACGCAGGGATCAGGAACGGGCCGGACCGGACTGGTAACACACCCCAGTACCTCTCGCCGTGCCTCCACACTTTCCCTCTCCTCTGTGCCCAGTGGCCCCCCTAACCTGGCGGCCTTCTCTGCCAACGCTTTGCACCGCTCTAACCCGTACACCTGCTGCCCCGACGTCGTGAGCCCCCCCCTAAAAATTTCCTGGGGGTCTCTCCTCCCCGTGGCCCAGGCCTCTCTCCCTCTTGCCAGACTCGCAATCATCTCCTCCCACGTCCATCCTCTCTCCTCGTCACGCTGCTTGATCTGGTTAAGGTGGGTTTTTCTGTCACGATCGTTGGTTAGAGAGGACCAAGGCGCAGCGTGTTGAGCGAACATACTTTAATAGTAAAGTGCAAACACGAATACAAAACAATAAACGATACGTAACGTCCTCAGACAATGACTGACAAGGAACAAAAACCCACAAACACAAGGTGAAAACAGACATTATAAATATGGCTCCCAATCAGAGACAACGAGCCAAACAGCTGACACTCGTTACCTCTGATTGGGAGTCACTCATCCAAACAAAGAAATACAACCACATAGAACAACCCAACCAAACAGAACACAACGAAACGAACACACCCTGGCTTAACATACAAAGTCCCGGAGCCAGAGCGTGACACTTGTAACCAGTTCACTTACAAATTGACTTTAGCAAATGTGGTTTGTTGTTTGGATTCACTGGAATCTGGAACAAAGAAAGCAGAAGTAGACCAGTACTTACAGACTAAATCTTTGCCACAGCTTCACCTTACATTTCAAAGGGATATTTACTCTCATCGGAGCAAAATGCAGCCCCCTTATAGTCAAAGAGGAAATGACTACCTTATCACCACCCCTGCTTTTGACGCCTTTGCCTGCTATCTTGTGTTGACATCCTGCCTTGTAGGCCACCGATTAATAGACTAAACCACGAATCACATCAGCTTCCATTTTAGGACTCAGTGTGTTATTACATGATATTATAATTTGATGCTATTGTTGTCTGTTTTTTACCACCACACAATGATAAGTCCATTTGAATTTTGCACAGCTTAGTTTACTGACATTGACTATCCTTTTGAGCATGGTGCAGTTATTAATTAATTAAGTTGTCAGAGAGGAAAGAAACCACTCAAGGATTTCACCATGAGGCCAATGGTGATTTTAAAACAGTTACAGAGATTAATGGCTGTGATAGGAGAAAACTGAGGATGGATCAACAACATTGTAGTTACTCCACAATATTAACATAAATTAGTGAAAAGAAGGAAGCCTGTACAGAATACAAATGTTCCAAAATATGCATCCTGTTTGCAATAAGGCACTAAAGTAATACTGCAAAAAAAATTTGGAAAGAAATTAACTTTTTGTCCTGAATACAAAGCGTTATGTTTTGGGCAAATCCAACACAACACATCACTGAGTGGCACTCTTCATATTTTCAAGCATGGTTGTGGCTGCATTATGTTTTGGGTATGCTTGTCATCGGCAAGGACTAGGGAGTCTTTTTGGATTAAAAAAGAAAAGGAATAGAGCTAAGCACAGGCAAAGTCCTAGAGGAAAACCTGGTTCAATGTGCTTTCCAACAGACACTGGGAGACAAATTCACCTTTCAGCAGGACAATAACCTAAAACACAAGACCAAATCTACACTGGAGTTGCTTACCAAGAAGACAGTGAATGTTCCTGAGTGGCTGAGTTACAGTTTTGACTTCAGTCTACATGAACATCAGTGGAGGCTGCTCTTGGGAGGACGGCTCATAATAATGGCTGGAACAGAGCAAATGGAATGGCACCAAATCATGTGTTTGATGTATTGATACCATTCCACCAATTCCGCTCCAGCCATTACCACAAGCCCCTCCTCCCCAATTAAGGTGCCACCAACCTCCTGTGTTGAACATCTATGGCAAGACTTGAAAATGGTTGTCTAGCAATGATCAACAACCAATTTGACAGAGCTTGAAGAATTTTGAAAAGAAAAATGCTCTTTGTTTATTTTTAGTCATTTAGCAGACACTCTTATCCAGAGCGACTTACAGGAGCAATTAGGGTTAAGTGCCTTGCTCAAGGGCACATCGACAGATTTTTCACCTAGTCGGCTCAGAACCAGCGACCTTTCGGTTACTGGCACAACGCTCTTAACCACTAAGCTACCTGACGCCCTGTTTGATATTGGACCTTTAACCTTTAACATGACACAATTTTATTTTCCATTCACCACATATCAAAATGATGAATCACTTCTAGACCTTAGATTAGCGCAGTGGTCTAAGGCACTGCATCGCAGTGCTAGCTGTTCCACTAGAGATCCTGGTTTGAATCCAGGCTTTGCTGTAGCCGGCCGCAACCGGGAGACCAATGGGGCGGCGCACAATTGGCCCAGCGTCGTTCAGGGTAGGGGAGGGAATGGCCGGCAGGGAGGTAGCTCAGTTGGTAGAGTACTCCCGAGTGGCGAGTGGCGCAGTGGTCTAAGGCACTGCATCGCAGTGCTAGCTGTGCCACTAGAGATCCTGGTTCGAATCCAGGCTCTGTCGTAGCCGGCCGTGACCGGGAGACCCATGGGGCGGCGCACAATTGGCCCAGCGTCGTCCAGGGTAGGGGAGGGAATGGCCGGCAGGGGATGTAGCTCAGTTGGTAGAGCATGGCGTTTGCAACGCCAGGGTTGTGGGTTCGATAAAATAATGTATGCGCTTAACTGTAAGTCGCTCTGGATAAGAGCGTCTGCTAAATGACTAAAATGTAAATGTAAATGTAGAGCATGGCGTTTGCAACGCCAGGGTTGTGGGTTCGATTCCCACAGGGGGGCAGTATAAAAAAATAAAATAGAATAATGTATGCACTAACTGTAAGTCGCTCTGGATAAGAGCGTCTGCTAAATAATGTAAATGTAATTAGCGCAGTGAAGCTGCTGTATGTCACACCTGCAACATTTGTTGATCTAAGAGTGTTTTAATTAGCCTTTCCTGCCCCCAGGCCACCAGTTGCACAATCCTTCTCTAGAAAAAGAAATGGGTGGCCCTGAGCTCAGCACAGCTCAGCTCAGATCTCAATATGACCTTATACCAAAAGTTTCAGAACACCTACTCATTAAAAGGTTTTTCTTTATTTTTACTATTTTCTACATTGTAGAATAATAGTGAAGACATCAAAACTATGAAATAACACATATGGAATCATGCAGTAACCAAAAAAGTGTTTACTTATGGTGGTACGAAATTGTCACCTCTGTTCAAAAACTGTAATTTAATTTGATACATCTGTGCTATTTTGCACCACAACATTTTTGCCTGTAATGCCAAACACCTCAATAAGTATTTTGGAACTTAGTAGTAGGCAACTATTCAGCATAAGAGTCAACACGAAATGTGATTAGTTGATTGGCCTTCTCCCCATGCAGGTCGGCAGAGGACCAATGATAAAGGCGATTCCGTCTCATACAACAACAAGGTGTACGAGAACTTCAATTTCAGCACACAAACCCAACAGAGACAGACAACCACTGCATCCATCCAGGAACAATGCATTTATGAGAACTAGACCATCTTAATCTCACTCTGACAGCCTCATTCCTCTTTTTAGGCAAGTTCACAGATGTTTGTAGCCTTTAGACCATTTTCAAATGTGGGAGTACTGTTGTATGATGCTTTACTATCCCAGATCAAGGTATTGGTGAACCATTGGACCAGTGTGTCTTGAATACTAGAGGTATTGGTGAATCCATCAACCATTGTACCAGTGTGTCTAGAATACTAGCTGAGTTGAACACATCAAAGCTACAGGAATAGTTATTTAGTTTAACCTATTAAATTCTGACCCCCTCTGGTGGCATTTTCTAAATGACCCATAACTCTGTATACTACCCTCATAATGTAAATTTAGGTTTCAAAACTAGAAGTCCTACAAACGCTTAGTACTGTTAGAAAGGTAAGAACTGTGCGATCCAGATAAAGGCCACAGAAACGATGTGACTACTACAAAGCCTGAGATACAGCAGAAATGTGCAGTTTTTGTTTTGTGTTTTTGATTTTTTCAGTGGGGTGGGGGTCCACCCAATTGTCCCCATGTTGGGGAATAAGAGATTTGAAAGTTTGAGATAAAATATGTCACCAATTACTATTCCAAAATAAATATCAGATATTTTACCTAATGGTGGCGCTCTAAACATGCGCAAATTGGAACAGAGCCATTGTAAAGGTGCAGGGCTTGCGCAATGTGCCAAACCTTCATTTTTCGCCTTACAGGAATGGTATACATATGAGGAGAAAGCTGATGTCTCTACCTATCCATTGATGTAAAAATATCCTGTCTGATTCCCAATTCATCCAACAGATAGCAGTAGGAGATCACATGACGTCTCTTGGCACCTTGAAACCAGTTGCGTCTGGTTTGGCTTGTGAGTCACTGTGCCAAAATGGCTGAACTGATTTTCAAGCCTGACATCTTAAAATGACCTAAGCAAGTTATGGGGGGAGATTCTTATGACATTGCCAGAAGTATGATTTGAGCTTGATTTCCAAAAAGACAAGGCCTGTAGCTTTCAAATGACATGTCACCTTCTATTTTCTGAAGATTTGGTTTTTTTGGGGGGGGCTACCCCCCAAACTCACCGGGCCCTATATAGGGCCCCCCAAAAAACGCTCAGAGTTTAACAGGTTAAAATATATCTGACAATCACCCAAAAACTCTTTCCAAACATTCACTCTAGGCATAAATTGGGTGGTTGCCATTGATATCATTAAATTGTATATAACGTTTTCCTCTTGCTGTCCTTTTGAATGTGATATAAAACCTTACTGTGCATGTGTGAATCACTCTGGATAAGAGTGTTTGGGCCAATGATTACTGGTAAATGAATGTAAGGTCCTCAACACCTCGTTAGGGCTTATTTTGTATGAGATTTGCATGATAAGAATTTTTTAATTTGGAGATAAAGTCAAACCTAATATATAAATCCTGTGGACATTCATTGCTAAATTAAAATGTAGGAAACTGGTTTAATGTACTGGTTATCTGCGTTGCACATGCAGATTCATGACTTTTCTTGACTTGTTCAGTTATTACAAATACACGTTGGTTGTTCCAGAAAAGGTTGAACAACTCTGAGTTCCTGTTTTAGAGCCAACGTTGCTGTCAATTCTGTGGTCTGCTTTCACATGACTGGAAACAAGTATGGTGCAGCCTCTCACATTCACCACTCAGCAATGTTGTGGCCACTTCTGCAGGCCCCTCAGCAGTTTTCGCCAACATTGACTGCAGTATGCTTTTTGATGTGGAGTTTTTTTCTTTTCTTCAGAGTGAACAATGCGTAAATTCTCTTTTTGCTCACCAAATCCACTGAGAATGTATATAAAAGGTCAGATAAGGATTTAAGAGTGGGAGGAGTGGTGGTGATGCATGTGGGTATTTTTCACATTTTGTTTTGCTTGACAACTTTAACATAACAAAAAAGTGGCGGAAAAATCTTGACTAACCTTTAACCTGACACTAAAAAGTATATAGACTGTCTTTCTTGGCCTAGTCCTAATCTGAAAAGTATTTTTTAGCACCCTAGCTCACTATTGCTATATTATCTGCCTTGATTCTAAATATATGTTGTTTGTATTGTATGTTTTTTTGCCTAAGTAGAGCTTTAAGATAACTCTGTAATAAAAAGCGTTATACAATGTTATTATTATTATTATTATGTAAGTGTGTAAAAATAAATCTAGTTTACATAAGCTGTGAACTCTGTTTCAATTCAACCTATGACCTGAGTATCTGCATGCTGTTGTAAACTGTTTCACTGTTTTATTATAGTATGTGAAAGGTATTTCTCAAGCTAATATGGATGTTTGTGTATTTTAGAATACAACTAAAACGTATTCTGGTGAATCCAGAATGAATGCTACGTTCACTATTGTTGAGTGAAAAATTGTGAACATAGGAAATTCTGGACTCCCGAGTGGCGCAGTGGTCTAAGGCTGTGCCACTAGAGATCCTGGTTCAAATCCAGGCTCTGTCGTAGCCGGCCGTGTCCGGGAGACCCATGGGGTGGCGCACAATTGGCCCAGCGTCATCCAGGGTAGGGGAGGGAATGGCCGGCAGGGATGTAGAGCATGGCGTTTGCAACGCCAGGGTTGTGGGTTCGATTCCCACAGGGGGCCAGTATGAAAAAAAAAAATAATAATACATCTCACTAACTGTAAGTTACTCTGGATAAGAGCGTCTGCTAAATGACTAAAATGTAAAATGTAACAAATCAAACCATTATCTGCAGTTAAACCCAAAGGTGAAAAAATCACATGAGATGAACTGGGCAGTTGGGTCTATAAATGTACATGTCACTGTTGTGTGGTAGAGGGTAGCTAGCGCTAACCTGAGCACTAGACTCACACACATTGAACCTGCTCTGTGAGGAAATTGACACAGTTCACACAGCAACACAGAGGGTGTAAGTACAGTGCATATCTTGAGGATTTGGATGCAAGTGTCTTTAACTAATAGATATGGTGAGTATTCTAACATATTATTTTTTTCCATCTTGTTAAAAATGTTATATTTTATAAGAACTGCATTACGGCACAAGGAGTCAAAGATGAGAGAACTGAATGCTTCTTGAATGGGGGAGAATTGGTATTCAACTTCTGTTAAATCTACGCCCTGAGAGACGTGCATATGCTTTAGGTTCACAAAACTCCTGTCATGGATCCCCCCCGGTACTGCTGCTCATTCCGTTCACCAGTTCCGGAGGTCTACGTCACCGGCTTTCTGGGTGTCACTGACATGGATCATTACACACTTCTGTGTCAGAATGCTTGCAACAAAAACTGTGATCGAACCGCAATATTCAACATACCTTAATGTCTAGAATTCAAAATAAAATGTATTTGTTATTTTGGAAACTTCACAAAATACATTTCTGTCTTTCCATGCATGTTTTCAGTGTATGTGTGACGAGGTGTGAATGAAGGAGTCAGGCGCAGGAGGTAAAATACCGAAGTCCAGAGTTTAATCCGTTTACATAAATCAAACGCCCCAAGAGTCAAATGAAACTATTACAAGGGAAAACATCCACCTTGGCATAAACACAGTGAATAGTAGCTCAACCGCGCTACACGCTCTCACAACAAACAATCACTCACAAAGAAAAAGGGGAACAGAGGGAACACTTATACACATACTAATTAGGGGAACGAGCACCAGGTGTGTGTGATTGACAAGACATGACAAGTGGAGTGATGAGAATGGGATCGGCAGTAGCTAGTACTCCGGTGACGACGAACGCCGAACGCCGAAGCCTGCCCGAACCAGGGTGGGGCAGCCTCGGCGGAAGTCATGACAGTTTGATACAAGCCACACTTTACGTGCTGAACCTCCTGTAATCACAGGATGTGTAGGGTGAAAAACCACTGAAATGTACTGTTGAAGATAACTATCTTATATTTGTGTCGTTTTTGGACCAGATGTCGGCGCTCTACTCTTCTGTTCTGCATTTGGCAATACTTCTGAGTCTCCACTCAGGTAATGTGTTCATACTTTATACATGATACATTTAGAGACGGCACTTACTATGAAAACTGTGGACACTTAAGGTACAGTTTTGTTCTAAGGGGAGAGGGGTGGGAGATGGGGTATCATAGGTAAAATTATAATTTACGATGCTTAAGACAGAATCAGTGCCTTCACAACTGAAATATGAAAATTATGGAACTGAAATGAAAAGTGATTGCTGAGAGACTTGCTGTTTAGTTTTACACTTGTGGTAAATACAGTAGACAGACCCTACATTTATTGACTTAATACATTTGTCCCAGCCAGTATGGAGCTGAGAATTGAAGTGGCTTAAAATGGTTTTATAATTGTCAGGTGTGTTATGACCTAAACCACTTCATCACCTGTTTTCTCAGATTGATCAACATTGATCTCTTTTTCTACAGGTTTACAGACCCTAACTACACTGTCAAAACATCCAACAGCAGTCATAGTACACAAAGGAAATTCAGTGACGATCCACTGCACCCACAATTTACCCAATAACATTGAAATATTTGCAGTAACTATAAAAGGAACAGAGGTGCTGTGCTTTTATCAGTTTAACAGAGAAGAGTAGCTGGTGCCGAAGAATTGTAAAGAAAGTGTACGAATGATTTGGAATAATGAGACTGAAGAGGTCTCCTTTTTACTGATGAAGCTAAAGATAAATGATGCTGGACTTTACTCCTGTGAAGTGAAATGAGTTGTACCTCCACCCACAACCGTTCTATCACAATATAGATGTCACGGTTTCGGCCGAGGCTGCTCCTCCTCCTGGTTCGGGCAGGCTTCGGCGGTCGTCGTCCCCGGAGTACTAGCTGCCACCGATCTATGTTTCATGTTCGTTTGGTTTTGTCTTGATGTTGTACACCTGTGTCTTGTTAGTCCTCGTTAGTGTCCTATTTAGTTCTTGTTGTGTGTGTTTGTCTTTGTGTGTGATTGATCTTCTGTTTCGTGTTGGAGCTACGTACTTCCCTCCAGTGTTTTGGAGAGGTTTTTCGCACATGTTAGTGCGCCGTTTGATTGACGCCTGTGTGCGCCGTTATTTCGCCTTCGGGCTTATTGTGCTTATTTTCTACGTGTATATTGCACTAAAGTCTTTTGGACTGAGCTTCTGCGTCCTGCGCTTGATTCATGCACCACACCCACCTTCAGCACCCCTTGACAATAGAATACATCTTTATTATTACAGGTTAGTGTACTTTGATCGTATAATATATTGTACCATTTGCAGTATGTGAAACCAAAGCCTTTCTGTGAGCGAGCCACTGTAATCAGAGTTTAACTAACTGTTACAGTGCCTATCATGCTTATGTGTTACAAAGTGGGATAAAAATATATATTAATGACAAATAAAACACTAATATGCCTTGATTAGTGTCAATGTACCCTGGGTCAATGTTATGTATGTTAGAAACACCTATGGCAGCAATTACAGCTGTGAGTCTTATTAGGTATGTCTATAAGAGCTTTGCACACCTGGATTGTGCAGCATTTTCCACTTATTATTTTAAAAATTATTCAAGCTCTGTCAGGTCTTACTATAGATTGTCAAGCAGATTTGTTTTTGTAGTATTACTTTAGTGCCTTTTTGCATTCAGGATGACTGTTTTGTATTCTGTATATTTGTATTCTTCTTTTCACTGTCATTTAGGTCATTATTGTTGATCCATCCTCAATTTTCTCCCATCACAGCCATTGAACGCTGTAGCTGTTTTAAAATCACCAATGGCCTCATGGTGAATCCCTGAGCAGTTTCCTTCCTATCCTGTAGCTCAGTCCAGAAGGACCACTGTACATTTGATGTGTCTGGGTGGTTTAATAAATCCACAGCATAATTATTAACTTGACCATGCTTAAAGAGATATTCAATGTCTGATTTGTTAGTGTTACCCATCACTGTGTAGTTGAATCTGTGCTTCAAATTCAATACTTGACTGAGGGACCTTACAGATGTATGTATGGAGGACAGAGGAAGGGTTAGTCATTTAAAAATCATGTCAGCCCCTATTACTTCATGCAGAGTGAGTCCATATAACTTATTGTGATTTATTCAACCAAATTTTACTCCTGAAATAAATGTAGGTGTAAGGACAGACGCTTTGAGACAGGAAGCAAATACAGGGTGAGGATTTAATAATAAATAGACATGAAATAAAGCAAGAACAGTGTCTGGACAAGAAAAACAAAACACCATCAATGCAGACACGGGGATCAAACTGAGGAACAGACAGATATAGAGGAGGTAATTAAGCAGTGATGAAGTCCTGGTGAGTCCAATGAAGCGCTGATGCGTGTAACGATGGTGACAGGTGTGAGTAATGATGGGCAGCCTGGCGCCATCGAGCGCCAGGGAGGGGGAGCGGGAGCAGGCGTGATATTAGGCTTGCCTAAGCGAAGGGGGTGAATACTTATGCAACAACTATATTTTAGTTATTTAATTTGTATTAATTTGTTTAAAATATATATATATATATAATTAAACTGCCTTTTCACTTTGTCATTATGGAGCATTTTGTGTAGATCAATGACAAAAAAACACAATTAAATCTATTTCAATCCCACTTTGTAATGCAACAAAATGTGAAAAATCCACTTATGATACCCACTGTATGTCAATGCTACAAAGGAGAAACCTAATGTTGACACCTATTTAATGTTCACCACCTCTATACTATCTAGCCCCTCCTGCCGTATCTGTGTCTGATGTAAAGGAGTCCAGTGGTGGACTTCCCATGTTGCTGTGCTCCTCTCAGGGTTTTTATCCAGAGACCATAGAGCAGGTGTGGTTTAGAGATGGTCAGCTCCTCAACACCACACTTTCAGACACGCAGCAGGAGGTCAACCCAGATGGTTCCTTCACCCTCCACTCCTACCTGCCTCTGTCCTCAGGACCCAGCCAGACTGGCCTCTACCTCTGCTTGGTCAACCACTCTGCTCTCAGCCAGCCTATCACTGTCAATCACACAGTCATGTCCAATGGTGAGAGCTAAGTGTTAATAAGTCAGTATTACTATAGTTAACAATGTAATATGTATTTTTTTAGTAACACCTTACTTGTCTTTCTTGAATCAACACAATAGCACTGATTTTGCTGAATGTTGCTTTATTGTGGAAAGATTTGACTTGAAATGATTGTGATATATCATTGTTTTAAAAGTAATCTGTCCCAATGAACTCCAGTTATCAAAACTAACTCCAATGAAAGTATCACTCTGTTGAGGGTTAAGAGAACACCAGTAGAGTCAATTTAACCCTAAAAATGTTAACACTGTGATTTCAATTATTCTTGAATTATTGTGTACTTAGTTCTCTTCGTGGGACATAAGACATAAACAGTTATTGTATTCTATAATGGTAAATCTCTGACCGTTACTGGTCTTGTTGTTTCAGAGACCTACCATGGGAACAACCTTCTCACCATCATCTGCGTCAGCACATCCATCGGGGTTGTGGCCATCGCAGCTGTCACCATAAGTATTTACAAATGTACGTTTTAGGAGATGATTGTGGACTACAGGAAAAAAAAGAGGACTGAGCACGCCCCCATTCTCATCGACGGGGCTGTAGTGGAACAGGTTGAGAGCTTCAAGTTCCTTGGTGTCCACATCACCAACAAACTATCATGGTCCAAACAGACCAAGACCGTCGTGAAGAGGGCACGACAAAGCCTATTCCCCCTCAGGAGACTGAAAAGATTTGGCATGGGTCCTCAGATCCTCAAAAAATTATACAGCTGCACCATCGAGAGCATCCTGACTGGTTGCATCACCGCCTGGTATGGCAACTGCTTGGCCTCCGACCGCAAGGCACTACAGAGGGTAGTGCGTACGGCCCAGTACATCACTGAGGCCAAGCTTCCTGCCATCCAGGACCTCTATACCAGGTGGTGTCAGAGAAAGGCCCTCAAAATTGTCAAAGACTCCAGCCACCCTAGTCATAGACTGTTCTCTCTGCTACCGCACGGCAAGCGGTAGCGGAGTGCCAAGTCTAGGTCCAAAAGACTTCTCAACAGCTTCTACCCCCAAGCCATAAGACTCCTGACCAGCTAATCATGGCTACCCGGACTATTTGCACTGCCCCCCCCCCCCCATCATTTTACGCTGCTGCTACTCTGTTAATTATTTATGCATAGTCACTTTAACTCTACCCACATGTACACATTACTTCAACTACCTCAACTAGCCGGTGCCCCCGCACACTGACTCTGCACCGGTACCCCCCTGTATACAGTGGGGAAATATTTTTTGGGATTTGGAGTCACACTCAAAATTAAAGTGGAAAACCACACTACAGCTGATCCAACTTTGATGTAATGTCCTTAGAACAAGTCAAAATGAGGCTCAGTAGTGTGTGTGGCCTCCACGTGCCTGTATGACCTCCCTACAACGCCTGGGCATGCTCCTGATGAGGTGGCGGATGGTCTCCTGAGGGATCTCCTCCCAGACCTGGACTAAAGCATCCGCCAACTCCTGGACAGTCTGTGGTGCAACGTGGCGTTGGTGGATGGAGCGAGACATGATGTCCCAGATGTGCTCAATTGGATTCAGGTCTGGGGAACGGGCGGTCCATAGCATCAATGCCTTCCTCTTGCAGGAACTGCTGACACACTCCAGCCACATGAGGTTTAGCATTGTCTTGCATTAGGAGGAACCCAGGGCCAACCGCACCAGCATATGTTCTCACAAGGGGTCTGAGGATCTCATCTCGGTACCTAATGGCAGTCAGGCTACCTCTGGCGAGCACATGGAGGGCTGTGCGGCCCCCCAAAGAAATGCCACCCTACATCCATGACTGACCCACCGCCAAACCGGTCATGCTGGAGGATGTTGCAGGCAGCAGAACGTTCTCCACGGCGTCTCCAGACTCTGTCACGTCTGTCACATGTGCTCAGTGTGAACCTGCTTTCATCTGTGAAGAGCACAGGGCGCCAGTGGCGAATTTGCCAATCTTGGTGTTCTCTGGCAAATGCCAAACGTCCTGCACGGTGTTGGGATGTAAGCACAACCCCCACCTGTGGACGTCGGGCCCTCATACCACCCTCATGGAGTCTGTTTCTGACCGTTTGAGCAGACACATGCACATTTGTGGCCTGCTGGAGGTCATTTTGCAGGGCTCTGGCAGTGCTCCTCCTTGGGGCGTAGAAATATTTGACTAAAAAATAGTCAACTAAAAAATATCTCTCAAGAGACAGTTTAGTTGAGTTAATTTCCAATCTAAAACATCCCTATTAACATTGTCTACATGACAAATCATTATGTTTCATCACACATTCTTAATACCCAATGCCTGATAGATTTTTCTTTGAGGGGTCCCTGTATTCCAAAGGCTATCTGTTTAAACACCCCCTATTTTCACATTCTCCCTTGAATTCTCCCAAACTATATAACCCAATTGTTTTACTTTAACATTCCTATATTTTTGCTCATAATCTATTTGACATTACTCTGGTGTTTCCCTTTTCATTGTTCCTATTCTAACAATTGCTTACACTTCTCTCCTCATCCTGGTTGATCATAAAATTGTTTATAGTTAGAATTTCCTAAATATTACAAAAGTTATGATTGAATCCTAGCACACAGTCCTAGTAACTGTAAAGATGTTGAACTACTGTTAACTATTTAAAACGGAGATGTGGTGCATATTAGACTATTTTCTTTTATTTAATTTTAATGCAATATATTGTACTCATCTATACCAATCATTGTTTAACGGCTCCTTCAATTCCCTTTCTTCTGTATTTGGTATGGCTCTAACATGTACAGGGTTCAGTGCACTTTCCCAAGGAATAACTACTCCAATAACACTTCCCCCTGGAAATCTAACACTAAATACTACATCAAATTGTTTATCTAAGTCTTGGACTGTTCTCCTTATGTCTATGATTCACCTGTCTCTTTCTTTCATTATCTTAAGGTCACACTACCCCATGTGACTTCCCCATACTCTTTGTGCTGGTTCGTCACACACCAATAATATTTTAACCCTTGTATTTTAATAGTGATCCCTTCCTGCATTTTAGTTATGGTTCCTGCCTGTGCAAGAATATACATTCTAATCCTGTCTATATCCCTTCTATGTCTTGTTCTTCTGCTCTCTACTATTATCAGTACCCCATTCCCCTTATTCTCAGGGAACTAGTCAAGTACAGAGAAATCAATGATGAGGATTTATGGTGCGTCTTGGAGGTCTTGAAAGTCTCGGCGGTCTGGAAGGTCCTGGGAGGTCCTGAAAGTATCGGTGGTCTCTTAGTTATCAGTTCCCTCACTCTGGTACAATGGTTTAGATGATACCTGATCGCGCTCCCCTCTATCCGTACCGCTGTTGGTGTAACCTGGACGACGATGTATGATCACTTTAGCTGTTAACCTTCTTCCATCACTAGGGTCTCCGGATCAGCCAGAGTCCCTCTCATTCTATCGACATCGGTCTGCGAAGAGTGTCCTTCAATCAGCCTACCCATAGGGAAGCTCAGAGTTACTGCTGCAAAGACACACACAAAAGACAACAATGCTACCCAATGGCTGAGGTTGGAACACTCCTATAGTGGGAAACATGGATCTAAGTATCTGTCTCCACCACTTTTACCATCATTAAGATAGCCAACAACACCTGGTACAGGCCCCTCCACATAGGGTCTATTCAGCTCTTTCTTCTGTAGTCTTTTGCCATCACATAGTCTCCAGGGTGCAGAGAATGCTCAGACTCTCCTACTTCACCCATGAAAATAAAATCTTAAGAGCATTGTTAGGTTAAGTGAGACACAGTATGCTACTCATGACCTCTCATCCGTCAAGAGAAGCCTTGAGATTATGAAGCACACCTGCTTCCAGCTTGTTGTAGTCCACTTATCTCATAGACAGACCTCCTCTACACCATGCCTCCTATCACAAAAAAAAAATATTTAACCTAACCCATAATTACTACTGCTCATATCATTTTACATTTTTTTTTACATTTCAGTCATTTAGCAGACGCTCTTATCCAGAGCGACTTACAGTTAGTGAATACATTTTTTTTTTTTATACTGGCCCCCCGTGGGAATCGAACCCACAACCCTGGCGTTGCAACCGCCATGCTCTATCAACTGAGCTACATCCCTGCCGGCCATTCCCTCCCCTACCCTGGACGACGCTGGGCCAATTGTGCGCCGCCCATGAGTCTCCCGGTCGCGGCCGGCTGCGACAGAGCCTGGATTCGAACCAGGATCTCTAGTGACACAGTTAGCACTGCGATGCAGTGCCTTAGACCACTGCGCCACTCAGGAATATCCTTAATACACCTTGCATATTTCCCCACAAAACCATTATAAAACATTAAAACCTCTGTAAGCCCAACTGCCCCCCTTGGAAACATGCATCACATCGTGATTCATGTGTTCAAAAAACAAAACAACAACAATATTGCCTATCAAACCAAAAATAATAACTAACCTTAAAATGACAACCCTTGAGCATATCTTTACTTAACTGTATCCCATAACACTATTCAAGGAATACCTCTCCTTCAGGACTAACTCTCTCACTTCATCCTTGTCCTGTTTGGACTAATTTATATATAGGATTTTTTCCAAATTATAAACTTCTTCACAATTATCCTTATTATATCTAACCCCCTAATTCAGCATGCCTCTAGAATTTACAGTGCGGGTGATCAGGTCACACTATAAAGCCAGGACAGATTTCAGAGGTCATTGAAATCATTCAATGAATTGTTTCATCCAATAGTATACTACTCTTAACAACCATCAAGACATTTAATAAATGTTGTATCCCGAGTGTACAGTAAGTCCTTAGTACAGCTCTTTTCAAAATAAATCACACATATTTACTTATCCCTCAGTAAATAAAAACTCAAATTACATGTGTATGCCCCTTTAAGATATTTCACTTCCATCCCGTCAAAAAAACCAAAATAGAAATACAAATCATATACAGCTAACATTTCATACTAAGTAGTTTGTTTGCGGTTATTCGAACACCATATAGTAAAA